GTTTTTCCTATGCGTTTAGTATTTGATGATTATTTGAGTGATAACAAACTCAAAAAGAAATCTCGCAGACACGAATAGTGCTTGAAATTTCGCGCTCTACAAAACCCATATACTTCCATCGAGATCCGAGACAGTCATGTATATGGTGGTACAGATCCCATGGAATTACCCAGCTTACAAGAATTTTGATGGTTAATATCTCGACTGAAAGTCTTGAAGGAAATACTTTCAGGCCAAGTTCTGTGACGAAAAAGATACACATTGCTGAAGCCTGTCAGTTCGTATGCGACAGTTTCGTTTATGCGCAAATTATTTTTATTAGAATCGATTCGTAGGCAAACTCATTCCCGTTTTTCCTCGAACCCAACATCGTTTAAAGCGAGTTCTAGCATGATAATGCAGCGTACTTCAAGAGTTTTGCATGCTACAAAAACGGCTTTGGTTCAGTCATTCACAGTGGAGATCGAGTGGGTATGAGGTGACGTCATCGTCAGGAATCAATTTCACGAATGGAGGAGAATAGAACTGTCTCAGAAAACCTTTCGAAACTCAAGTTCGGTCAGGAAAACTCCTCTGGTCATCAAGATCTTTCAAATCATGGATGACAACCAAACTTGTGAGCACAAATGCTTTCAGATCCGGTTGGTGGGCATACCCGCCCCCGTTCTTTACTCGTTCACGCCATTGGGAAACGAGAAAATATGGGATCGGCGCATCCTCTTGACTAAGTTATCTGAAGCAATAATTTCGTCTAGCAGATTGTGGTTAAAATGTTCAATACCTCTATCCCATTCAACTTCGCTATAAAAATAGGTGGAGTACGGAGATGCATAACGTAGTTTTTAACAGCAGCCACCGATAACGGTAGAATCATCGATAACAAATAGATGTTCAAGAGGTTTTACTGGCCATTCATGTCTAGTATAAAGAAAAACGAACTCAAACAAAACAATAGAAGCATCACTGTGAGGAAAACGGAGGGTGGTTAAATGAATGGAAATGCTCTCCAGTCAATGCCACTTTCAAGTCGTGCTTCTTGAACGTTAGTTTCTCCTTGAGAATATTTCACCAAAGTTAATAGAACTTTTGATTGTTAAGTGATCGGAATGTGTTTGAGAACCCGTGACCGAAATAACCAAACATGGTGGTTGCCGAAGTGGTTAAAAATAGAACAGAGGGTGAACTCACTTATTTATTTTCAACTGCTCAATTTGCAAGTAATATTGCTATGGGGTGATGGAGTGAAAATGCACTTAGTGCACATAAGTATAAAACCTAAGAAAATATACGACACAGCCGCTTATCAATATGTATTAACTATCGAGTTTCGCACTGCTTCAATCTTTATATCTTCGCTCGAAGTTATCTATTGACACAAGCGATAAGCAGTGGTACAAGTGGTGGTAAAGAGTCCGCAGGTAATAAATACTGACATCTATACGTTACTCATACAAATCCGATGGATTGTACAGCTCCATACACCGGATGCACTTCCTTTTCACTTTCTACATATTTGCCTTATGCTTCACTATAAAAGCAAAGCAGATCGTCTCTTAATATCATTCTGTATTTTTCGAAAAAACTATGCACTTCATCATCGTGTTCTATATTATTCTGCATTGCAGTTTCAGTACGTAAAAGCTTTCTATCATTGGGAAGTTGGAAACGACTTCACTTGTCTCTACCATCGATAGGTGTTCGTGGTGCGGCCATCCGAGCAGGCAATACACCACCTGTCCCCTACGATCAAGCATGCATCACTCAAACGGTTTTTAATCCTGCTGGACATGGCGGTATTGATGTTGCATCAAACGGTGCCGTCCGTGTTGATCTGAAGTCTGTATACGATGGCGAAGTAGTGGATTCTTGTAGTGGCGCTGCAGACTTCGATGAAAGCACATGCGGTATCAATGGAAACTATCTCCGCATCAAGTATCCGGCTCAAAACGGAGGCTCAGCTTTTCTTCAATACGGTCATCTGACTTCGCTGGCGGTGAAGAAAGGCGACAAAGTCGCCAATGGACAGGTGGTGGGCAAAATGGGGCAATCGGGATTGGCTAGAGGAATTCACACGCACTTCCATGTACTCAATGCAAATTTTCAGGCACTGAATGAGGACTTCCGCGTTGTTTACGGCCTCAATGGATACCCGATGTGCAGTGGTTGGGGTCGCAGATAGTCAGCTGACCTGCGTTCTGCAACTAATCGAAATGCTTGGGGTTCGCTTGCCACTTTTTGTGCCATTTCTTTTACCTTTCATTAAACACGCAGATAAAAAATTGCGACACTGTCGTTGAACTTTATTTAGCAAGAGAATGCTGACCTTATGAAATCATCTCAAAATAGTCCTTCATAGTTAGATCGTCTTTGCTTGGGCTTTCTTCTTTCGCTAACACCAGTATCCTATTTCTTGCTCAACCATATCAGTTCGCTTCTTTGTAATTGACAGTTCACACATCTCATCGTAAACTTTTCATTAATCAATATCTAAACAAGCATCTCATATTCTGTTTTGATGAGATCCCCATTTTCCCCGTTTTATAAAATATGCATCTGTGACGTAGTGAGATTCACTTTCAGTTAGTCAGTGATCGAGGCCTCTGGTCAGTACATGGATCTATTCCATGTGTCATCATGTTACCTCGATCTCATAAGTCTTTTCCCTTCTTTTTGCTGTGTGGTAGTTTCCCTGTATCTCGTCATTCACACACACATATATATATATATATACATGCACCGTTCGCTTGTATGTGTGAGTCATCTCTGGCTCCGTATTTTTCCAGTGTTCACAAGGGATCGATGAATGTTGAGCACAGAAAACATGAGCACGGAAAGTTAAGCACAGAAAGTTAAGCACGAGAAAGATGAGCGTATGGAATCTTGAGGACATCAATACTTCAGCACAGTGATATTGTCGAACATCTAGCTCCTACGAGCATTCAGTCTACGGCAGGAAGTTCGCTTCGTAGAAGTTTCTCTAGAACCTGGTTCTTTGGAAACCTTAGCGAAAGTCCTATGCATGTCCAAAGGATCAATATTCGGAGATAGGATTGCGACCGAACGGATCTAAGAGAGTACGATTCATTTTGGAATCAGCTTCCACTCTCTAAGTCATGAAGATTATTGCAGATATTCGCGATCTTTGTTCGGATAGTTTGCCGACGTCATGTCTTATGACGGATATATATATTGAACTTATGTATAGACGAATACTCCGAGGCCGAAGTTGTATTGTTTATTCTAATTAGAGAATGAAACAATAATATCTGATTGAGTTACAAATTAGTTTAACGTGTTATTACCTCCTGACATTTTTCTTGCTCAGTTTCCGCGGGTAGCCGGAACTTCGCCAGTAGGAATTTCGCAGTCTGGAGTTTCGCCATTGGCGAGCGTCCACTGAACTTTCGCCAATACACCCCCTGCACTTTCGCCAATTGACGAATGTCTACTAAACTTTCGCCAGTGTGCTCTCTGAACTTCCGCCAATTAACGAATGTTCATTGGATTTTGTGCTTCGAATGAAATAGCAGCACCGAAATTAAACATCAATTTTTATAGCGTTCTTAGAAGATATTCATTTATACCATCATCATCAGTTTTATCTAGTTTCAGATACACCCTTCCAATGCCAGAGACAACTCGTACTGCAGCATCTCGAGCTCAGCATGATGGTCATGCAGAGCAAACGGAACAGCAACCGACGCGATTTGTCAAGTACTTCGAGAAAGAATGGTTGCATGAGTTCTTGTTGATTCCTATTTCACTAATCATGCGTTTGAAAACTGATCTGATCATATTTGAATGAGACCCGACTGATTAGCCGAAGGCCTTCGCGCTACACCACACATCGTTGCTGATTTAGTCGTATCAAAAGGTCTTTTCGCTGCATTTGATTCTCTTCTCGGAAGGTATCTAACTAGCGAAAGACCAGTAAACTTTCGCCAATTGGCGGAAGTCTACTGAACTTTCGCCAGTACACCCCCTACACTTCCGCCAATTGGCGAAAGTCTACTGAACTTTCGCCAGTGCATCCACTGTCTTTTCGCCAGTAATTGGCGAAAATCTTATTGGCGAAGATCTGATTCCCCGTTTCCGCAACCTTTATTAGTTTTCTCAAATAATTAGCATTTCTCTTAATTCTATCTCAATCTTCTACGGATGCAGTCATCATGAGCTCTCGCTCAGATTGAGAATTTTTACTCCTTTATTTGATTTCGGTGCTTAGGTACTTACGTCGAAACCATTCCTTCCAGAGTCTGGTCCAGTTGAGAATGGTAGAGGAGCGGAGCGAAATCTTCAGCAACGAAAAACTGCGAAAGAAAAGGTCCGATGGGCGGATCCATCTTCATCAGCGTCGTCAACAGAGAGAGAAACTTGGCCATTTGATCCTGACGAATCAAGCGAGCGAGGAGATCCCAGATACTCAGGGAAGCGAGACCGATCTCGTAAAAGCAAGATTTGATCTGCAGAAAGACACCGTGGATCAGACAATCGAAGGCTAGTTGACCGGAGCCGAGTTTGGACAGGATGATTTGCAATGTGGTAATGATCCGGAAATGGTTCGGATTGTCCACATCGTATCTCGAGTATTGTTCGATGAAATAGTCTCGGTAGCGATCGACATCGCTCGGCTTGCTTCGCATCATCTTTCGATAGATCTGCCAAACTTGTTTCCAATCGGCTTCGCTCGTTTTCTCCAGCGCTGTTCTGTAAGACTTCTCTGCTCTCGACTGATCGTTTCGAGGACGATCAATTCATCGCAGTTACAATTCTCTTCGTTGAGCGGTGCAGTGGAAATGTTCGCCTGTGGAGTGACGAGAGCGAGTAATTGTTGTCCGAGTTGGAGACCCTGGAGGACAGATCGACGAGGATAGTCAGGATCTTGGAACGTGGCGATGATTTTCCACTCGGGCAACTCCGTCAGCAGAGGTGCAACTAAATTGGCGAGATTACTCGGCGTTCGGTAGAGCAGTGCTTCACGGAGGATCTCTTCCGCCTGATCCAGATCGCCCGAGTGAATGTAGCTGAGGCCCAGAAGAGAAACGACAACGGACAAATACTCTCGATCGTTGGAGAAGTACGGATTCGTTCGTGACGTCTTCAGGTAGCGGATGGCCTTCGTCGATTGTCCGTTGAGAAGAAGGTGATATCCGTAGAGGAAGCCAAGACCAGAAAACATCTGATGGGTCGGTGGGTAGTACGATTCCATCGCTGCGAGGCCTTTCTCCATGGCGGTCAATGCTTTGGGCAAGTGGTTCATTTGGAAATAGGCTGCAGCCATTTGGATGTCGATCACCCCTTTGAAGACACTTGCCATGATCGAAGGAATGTACGAGACGATTTCCACGGCTTCTTCCCAGTGATTGAGAGCCTCGCTGAACTTCTGTTGTTCAGGACAAGTGTGACCTTTGTAGAATAAACGTAGTTTCTCGTTCACGCCATTGTCAGGCTGTTCTTCGTTCATCGATGCTTCGAGAGATTGTATCGTCGGATGGGCTCGTTGATCAGGACCGTGCAGGTCACCAGGTCGACAAAGAAGTGAAGATCATCATTCGACGATCGGACGGACGTGTTGAACATCTTCGGCAATGACGAAGAGAAACGAACAGATGATCTGTGAAATCACCTTTCACCGTTGTTTGTTCTCCTTGTCACTGATCATCCCGAACAACATCGAACAGCTAGACGAAACGACAGAGTCAATCGAGACGAGATCCAATCGTGGTTCATTCTCAAATATTCTTGCTGCGACAAATCTATGTCGATGTGAACAGTCGTTCTGTTTCCTCTTTCGCAGAATGAAGTTTGCATTCCATCTTGATGATCAAATGGCTTCGAGCATTCCGCCGTTGACCTGAATTATCCCCGAAGGTTCGTCTTCGTCCTCGTCATCCGTATTTAGAGAACAATACATGCGACTTGTTCGACTTGATGCGAGACATTGTTTGCCGTTGCAAGAAGATCTCAGGCAAAGTTGATCACCACCTTCGAGATACGATCGGGTGGATTGTCATTGTTCTCAACGGAGAGAATATCAATGTCTGGCAGAGGAGATGAACAATCGACGACCGACCAATGGCAAATCATTTTCGCAGAAATCAGAGAAACCTTCACAGAACATCGAACAAAAATCCAGCCGAGACATTCGAAATGACGGCTGAATTTTCCAAAGGCACGAAGGAGATCAGAAGAATCGAAATATTCGAATAAAGAAAGAAATGAGTCGTCCGAGAACAATTTCCAATGTCATTCTCTCATCACTGTCGAAATCGCGAAAAAACAAATGAAAATTTCGCTCGTCTTCGGCAAACAACATCTCCGTGTGAAACGGGGAAGAGAAAAGGAAGTGAAGAGATGTTCGTCGAGTTGTTCGATCGATTGTTGATCACATCTCTCCACCGAACAGAAAAGAAAGGAACCGAGGAATCCCATTCGATGAACGAGGTGAAAGAACGACAAGAAAATCGACTGAAGGCTCCACTGCTTGATGTTCTTCTTCATCTTTCGTCTTCGATGATCACTCATTTCATTTCGATTCTTCTCGATCGAACGAATCTTTTAGTCCGCATTGGAATTCTGTCGAGTTGATCAACATCGCTGTTCGGATCGAAGTGGGACGACGTCCAAGTGTTGCACGAGAATCTCCAGTCTTCTTCAGATGTCAGATTGACGATTCGAATCGATCCGATCCATCCAAGACTCGCAACATTTTGCGTGATGAACATCCTTCGTTCTCTTCACCTTCGAATGCTAAGGGAGGTCACCGAAGGACTTCTCGGAGTTCTCTTACTCCAGCATCGATCTCGACTGAACTGAAGTCGATCGAAGAACGCGAATGATTCGATCATCGCGTTGAGAGTCTCGTTAGTTCAACTCAGTGCGAAAAGGTCTTTCATTTCTCGGATAGAATCAACGACTCGGATAAATATCCAGTTTTCCGAACACTCTGGAATCTGTCCGATGTGTCGACGCAAACAACGATCGATCTGTTTGATAGACCAGTGAAGGATCCGATCAACTCGTCTCAATCGAATGAGCAGAATTTCACTCAGGGACTGTTTCTAGCAATACGATGTCAATCTCGACGTCGACGATCGAAATGAATATGTTTATTACTGAAGATGAATGTTGCAACAAGAAGACAAACCTCGACGGATATCGATGTGAAGAATTGTTTTGTGTTCGTGACGACATCAAATCTGATCGAGTCAATCCAGTCTGTGAATCGATAGAAGAAAAGAAATTACGATTGAATACGAATAGCGCCAAAAGAAGCTCGATTGACATGCCACTTTGTTGGTAACAGTCCTTTGAGGTCTTTGATGAAATCATCTGCATTAGGTTGATATTCACCATCGGATTGAAGATAAAGTGTTCGAAGGTTCCTCATCGTGAGAGTTAAGATAAAAATAGATTTTATTGCGTCGACTCGAATCGTCAAGACTCGACATTGTCGACCCAATGGGGAGTGAACGAGTTCGAGACATTCTTCACTCGTGTAGAAATTCCGTTCATTAAGTTCATCCCATCCGTCGAGATGCAATTGATGAATTGACGAACTCGAGAGAGAATAAGGTGGCATCGTCTCCGTTGCCCAAGAATCGAATGCAAGTTCTTCCAGACAAGGTAAACGATCAAGGAGATCTTGTAAATCGTATCCATCATCTTCTGAAAAGTCCTTCATCACAAGTGAACGTAAGTTGGAGAGGGTCGGAACAACTGACAAGAATCGATGATCAAATGGAAGTGAGACAGACAGTTGTTCAATGTTCATCAATTGAATTTGAGGCACCGATCGGTCTTTGAACATCCAAGATTCACGTTCAACCTGACGAATTGAATAAGAAGAAAACGACGGATTCGCAGTGGGACAGGTTGATTTTGTTTGGAGATGCGACACGTTGCTCGGAACCGGATCAACATCGAATGCATACGGTAAAGAATAAAGATAAATCGAAAGAGATTTCATCCACATCCCCCAGTGAAAACGAATGAACCATTGGCGTACGATCCAAAATGAACTTCGATAGGTCTCAAAATATCGATCGAATTTCTCTTGATGATTTTCATCCCAATGAAAACTCAGATTCATCTTCAATTGAAAGACTTTTAATTGAGGAAAAGACTTGACTAAGAAGTGTTCCCACTGATGTCCATCGAATCCGATCAATTTCGGTGATTCGATCTTCAGGTCAGTGACATGCGGCAAGAAGTGAACCAGATTGGTTAACACACGCCGCGAACTGACCCGAGATAGAAATAATTTTCTCATCGGCAGATGTGGAGACGATAGAATGAATTTCTCCCGAACAGGAAGATCATCTTCTTCAAGTGTGTCCAATGAGACGGAGAATTGACGTAATCGAGGCGTCTTCATGAATAAACGGGCGAAATGGTTCGAACACCAATCTTGTTGAAGGATTGTTAAACATTGTAACGATGTTGAAACACACGTCGGAAAACAAAACCAATCTGGTCCGCTAGATTGGCAATCCCAATAGAGATGAGTCAGTTGAGGAAGGGACCAAATTTGATCGATCACTCTTTGAAAATCCGTGTCTTTCAGATGAAAGAACGAGCAATCGACTAATTTCAAATGTGCCAAATGACTCAGACAATGGAAATCGATGAAGAAATCTTGTGTTATCGTCTGATCGGAGCCCAACTTGTGCAACGACAACGAACGAAGATTGTCGAACTTACCAAATGTCCCATAGTCAGACCGAAGACGAGCAGATTGAAAGGGTGTCTCATCATCATCGGATAGTCGAAGGTAAACGATTTGACTTTTAACCAATGGGAAATAGGTTTTCCCGAAATTATCGAAATCTTCGTCCAAGATCGAACGAAAATCGAGACGATACGTTCGATAATAATCGAACAACAGAGAATCGAAACGACGATTCAGACAAGCAAACGAGCGAAGAAGATGAACAACATTGAAATATTCCAATAGGTTGATGAATAACTCGTTCGGTAACGATTCGAATATCGACATCGACGAAGAAAAGGAGAATGACGTCTGACAACGTCAAGGTCAGAAGGTCAACAAAGAAAAAGACGTTCCACTCGACTAAAGATCATTTGTTCATTGGACAGATGTGCTGAACGGAAAGATAGAGAGAGAGACCAATCCATGCTGGAGAACATTTCACTCGACGAAAGCGATGAAAGAACAGCATCATGATCAAACCGCGTTGATTTCGTCTCAGGTCCAACTTTCATTCCATCGGATTTCCGTTCTTCCCTTTTCCAATCGAAATAGAAACACAGCGAACTGTAAAGATGAAGTTCGTATTACGAACTTCGTAAGCCGTGGTAGAGGTCTCGTGTTCATTGGTCAACGGAGAATTGAGTGAAGAATCATTCAATTGTCTCACAGCAAAGATGAATGATTCGATATTGCTTCATTATCCAAGAAATAACTGAAAAGACTTTCATTCGACAAATCGCAAACGAAAAGAGTGATTGGAGAGAGAGAGAGAGAGAGAGAAAAAAGATGAATCTCTTTCCGACAAATCATTCTCGATTCCTATTTCTATTTCTATTCCAACAATAAGTAACAAGTCGTCGTGATCGCCTCCGCATCAGAGCCCGAAACGAAGCGAAGCTTCGTCGAGGCGCCTCGCTTCGCTTCGTCTGAGACGAAGCGAGGCGAAGCGAGGCCAGGTTTTTGGAAAGTAGGACGAGGCGAGGCGAGGCGAGGCAGAGATTAGACGAGGCGAAGCGAAGCGATTTGAAAAGTGCTGCCTCGATTTTTTTTAGTCATTTTCTTTTTTAGGATATCCTTAACCTTTTGATAAATTTCATGAATTTTTGTCTCAATAAATGTGTTTCCGTGTACGTGACTCTTTGTGCGTGTCTTCGTGTCACATGCGCATAGAATGTTGTTTAAACTGATTATTCTCAGCAAAATATATTCGCTACTCTTCGTGTCAAATATAGCAGGAGAAGTATGTGCCCCTGATTTTTGTTCTCATGAGCAGACACAGGCTTTCGAACGCTGCTTCTTAGAGTTCTTTTTTCAAACTAATCAGTCTCCCATGCAAGTTATTAAGACTGTAGAGAGATATTTTCACTGTAGAACTTTCGAAGCAGATATAAGGGATTTGAGAATAATAGTCTCTGAAGGTGAATACCTAAAATCAATGCCACCTGCATTTAAACGAAATCTTTTGTCATGTACACCAATAAGCATTCGGAACGCTTTTGGCAAGCAATAAAGCATTCGCAAATCGAGAAAACTTCGAGTTTGGTGATCGCGAAAACACTCATTCTGCATGTTTGAGCATGATGGTGAAAGAAAAAGTTTTAGCTGTAGACGAGAGCACCGTGCAATTATTTCATAGTAGAAAAATACTGCAGTGATCGATCTTGGTTGATTAAGTGCTTATACCAATTGTAGCTGTCCAGTAAGTCTATCTAGTTAGTAAAAAACAGAATTTCTTAAACTATTCTACCAAAATAATGATTTTCAAGTTTTTCCTTGCATCCAAAATTGATGAAAGCTATCTCACTTGATCGTGAAATAATATTAGGGGAGTATCACGACAGCATACTGTCAAAAATGCTGAAAAATACCTTGAACTTGATGAACGCTACTTGATCACGAAGATCCGAGGCGAGGCGAAGCGAAGCGATTCTGAAGTTCGACGAAGCGAGGCGAGGCGAAGCCAGATTCTGAAAATTAGGACGAGGCGAGGCGAAGCGAAGCGATTCCGCCAAAACTTGCCTCGTTTCGGGCTCTGCTCCGCATGTCTAGATTAGACCCGATCGAGTCAGTTTAGTCTTCGCAATGGAAAAAATTAGGATTGAATAGTAATGTTTCCATAAGAATACTTCGTGATAGTCCATCTTGATGATAAACATTCTTGCAAAGCGTGGATGATCTCCTTTTGATGAAGTTCATAATAAGGACCATTTTCAAATTGAATATGAACTGTTCGAAGTTTACCCATCATCGACGTCAAGACCAAAATACAGAAGAGTTCTTCGGCTTGAATATTTAAGACTCGACATTGCCTTCCTAATGGGGAGCGACCTAATTCCACACATTGTGCAGGATTGTAAGAATATCGCCGATCAAATTCACCATACGGGTTAACATTCAAGCGATAAATCGAAGAACTCTCGAGAGAATAAGGTGGCACTGTCGTCGTTGTCCACGAACTGAATGAAAGTGACTTGAGATCAGGTGAACAATCAAGGATTTCTTGTAAGTCGAGTTCAGAATCGGCTGGAAGATTGTCGATGGTGAGTGAACGTAAGTTGGAGAATGTCGGAATGACGAACCGAGATCGAGAATCGAGTGGAAGTCCAACAGAGAGGCTTTCAATGTTCATCAATTGCACTCGAGACATCACTCGATCATTGAACATCCACGGTTCATAACCGATCTGTCGAACGGAATCATACGAGAACGACAGATCAGCTGGACACGTCGATTCTGTCTGTAAATGTGAAATGTTGACAGGAATGAGATAACCATGAAATGCGTAGGGCAATGAATACAAACAAATTGAAAGATGTTCCCTGCAGAGTCCCCAACGAGCACGAAAATACCATTGACGATCGATCCAAAATGAAGTTCGATACGTCGAGAAATAGTCGTTGAATTGCTCTTGAGGATTTTCATTCCGACGGAAAGTGAAACGCATCTTCAATTGAAAGACTTTTAATTGAGGAAAAGACTTGACTAAGAGTTGTTTCCAGTGATGTCCATCTGATTTGATCAAGTGCGATGTTTCTATTTTCAGATGAGTGACATTCGGCAAGAAGTGAGCGAGATTCGTCAGCAGACGTCCAGAACGGACGCCAATGAGAAACGCTTTTTTCACCGAAAGATGCGGGGACGACGGAATGAATTCTTCCAGAACAGGAAGATCATCTTCCTCGTAGGTGTCTAATTTGACCTGAAATCGTCGTAATCGAGGGTTCTTCGCGAATAAAGGAGCAAAATGATTCGAAGACCAGCGTTGTTGCAAGATCGTCAAACATTGTAACGATGACGAGACGCATGTCGGAAGTGAGAACCATGACTCGCCACGAAATCGACAATCCCAATAGAGATGAGTCAGTTGTGGAAGAGTCCAAATTTGATTGATCACTCCTTGAAAATCGCTGCTCTGCACATGAAAGAGTGAACAATCGAGAAATTTCAAATGTGTCAAATCACGAAGGCAATGTAAACTGATGAAGAAATGTTGTGTTATCTTCGTATCGGAACCTAATTTGTGCAACGTTAAAGAACGAAGGTTGGTGAATTCACCCAATCTCACATCCATTGAGACCAGACGAGAACATTGACATGGCGTTTCTTCATCGTCAGACAGCCGAAGATAAATCGTTCGAGTTTTGATCAATAAAAGATATGGGTTGTAGAAATTATCGAAATCTTTTTGTAAGATCGAACGAAAATCCAGACGAAGCGTTCGACAAAACTCGAACAAGAGAGAATAGAAACGACGATTCAAAGGAAAAAACGAAGGAAGAAGATCAACAGCATTGAAATACTCGAATAAATCGAGGAAGAATTCGTTCGGCAACGATTCCAATGTCATTCTTGTCTCTGTGAACGTCTAGGAGAAGAAAAAGAGATCGTCGTCGTCGTCGCAGCAAACAACGTATTTTTCTGAAACGAAAAGAAGAATGACACTCTTCCAACACGAAGGTCAGCAGGCGAACAAAGAAGAAAACGAACACGACGTTCTATTCGACAGACATGTCTCATGTTCACACCTTCGAGACCAATCATAGGTTGAGAACATCATTTCCACAGGGAAAGAGAAACAAACGTGAAGAGTCTTTTGTTTGATCATCAAAGTGATGTTGATTGTTCTCGTCTCTTGACCAATGAGTGAAAAGAAAGATCTCATTCGAAAAGAGTACACTATTCTCAGAGAGATTCATTGAATGGAAAAGTGCCCAGTGAGGGAGACTGTGCACTGACGGATCATTGATTCAGTCTGAAGAAAGATCTCTACCCAGTGAACAACAAACAAGACTAAGCGCAAAGAGAGACACTTGGATTAATCAACAGAAGATCGCAACAACGGAACAGATGAGAACGGAATGATTTCGTTTCTCTTTTTTCAAATCATCGAAGATGTTCGATGAGAGAGAACGTGGAAGTGCCCTTGACCACCGTGTTCTGCCGATGATCTTTTCGAGTGATGATGAAGACGAGTTTCTTCGACTTCCATTCGAATTCTTTGCCGAAGAGAATGTCTTCAGTCTTATTCTGCTCGATCGCGTCAGTTGATCTGATGTCGAGATACATGCGATGAAGAAAAACGTGAGACTTCCGATCGACAACAGGATTGAATCTTTCGACAAATCATCGACCTGCTCTTGTTTTGCGCCACTCGTCGAGATAGAACGACGAAGGCGAGATGTACAAGAAGAAGCTCGTCCATTGTGGTCTGAACGAAATCTAGTAGGAAGCAATGAGAAAAGGACGAAGCCAAGTTTCGACAATCGAGAACGAAGGCAGAAATGAACAAGGGAAGAGAGAAGAGCTGAGGAAGAAGAGTAATAGATGGTCCAATCGCCAATTCTTGCTTCTCTCGTAGAACATCAAACACTAGACGAAGACGATCTCGACGTTTGTTCAACGTCGATTCGTTTCTTTGTTCATCGACATCACAGAGACAATTCTAAATCGACAAAGAGTGTCATGTACATACGCTCGATCGAGATGAGAGAAGTCAACCAATACACCATTCGACTCGATGAGGTAAGAAAGTAATTGAGGGATTTACACAGACCATCGTTCCACCGAGATGATGAGGAGAAGGTCTCGCTCATACTGGGAATCAGATGCAGAAGACAAATGATTCGGTATTGAACTGACATTGTCCACCGGAATGACACGGAGGAGAGATACAGAAGAAGTCACTCGATCGACTCTGATCTCCCTGCAAACAAAGACCACCGGCAAGACAGGACAAACATCGATCGAGATCCTGATCGAAGAGGAAACATTCCATTCTGTTCTGATTTTCTGCACAGATAGACATCGTCTCGAAAACACAACAAACTCGCATAGGTGATACACAACTGATGATATCGAAGGAGAGATCAACTCCTCCCGGAGAACATTAAAATTCAAGTGAAGATTACCGTTGGAGAAGCTCTGAAGATCTGTTGCTCCATTGACAGAAATGCTTTTCTGATGCGATGAGAGAAGAAGAATAGAGATTGATAAGAACGATCTCTGCTATCGTTGTCTGATTATCATAGAACTCGATCTTTGTGGCTAGTCTTTGCACGATTTGTTGATGGACAAGGATCAGATCGAGAGGTGTGGAATGAAGATGAAAGAATTGTATCACAGCACCGGCATGGAGAGAACTCTTGGCGATCGATAGTCTTCTTCTGCACAGTTCTCGCCAGTGAAGTTCGCCGTGCAAAGACAAACAAGGATTCCGATCAGCGATCGATCTTGTCAGTCGAAGGACTTTGGCCAGACGAAAGACAGGAAGATGATCAAAATAGATCGGATACCGCCACACCCTCACCCTCATCCCCACCCTCAATTGTTGAACAAGAAGAGAACCAACACTTTGAGAAGAATCGCTGGATCGATGTCTGATCGACTGAGAAAGATCGAGAGAGAGAACAAGGGACACTCGATTCGTTTGATATTCACACTTGTCACCTCGGTATTGTGGAGGACAGAAACAGACAATCGAGCCATTGGACAACAGGGCACCAAGACCACGATTGCACCATAAGGGAGACAATGACGATAATGACGATCGTCGATTGTTCAGGGGTGATGTTCTGCCGATGGAATCAGGCTTGAGAAATGTGACGTTGCCATCAGGTGGATAGCGAGACAATCGCAGAGTGTGTGATGCAGATCTGGCTCGACTTTCTGTCTGCTCCCGATAAGGAATAGAATTCCCTTGAGAGAAAGTGAGATAATCACACCCAGAATGGACATTGGAAATACTTCTCGCATCGACCACCTTTGAAAAGTAGCCAATTGAAACACAAAGCATCTCATGGCGATATCGCTCTCGATGTCAGTTGTGAACGAGAGCACCAATGTTCATCATCCGATCGGCGACATTCAGCGAGATCTTCGTCTTTTTTCGAGTCGAGATTCCAGAATGTATCGTAATAAGAACGAAAAGGAATGAGAAGCTCTGCACCCCTCTCGTTCTTCCTTGTCGATGTCCACGATTGCTCAATGTATTGACGAAGAAGTGAACACTCATCTTTCCATCGATCATTGCAACGCATGTCGGAGATCTTTCGACCTTTGATCCCAAACCACAGTTCATCGAATCGATTCTCACAATCATCCTGCTCATTTCCTAGTGCCATGACACTCAAACAGGGGGCTTGTTCGATCGAACAACGGAAACGATGACGTTGAACACGAGTGCAACTTCTCTTGATCTCCACCTCTGTCTGGTTGAGTTCATCGGCTTCATTGAGACAGTTGTCCCATACATCTTTCACCCGAGTGGTGAGCATGCACGGATTCCATTCGTGGCATCGATCGGTGGACTCGTTCGCGCAATGACGCTGACATCGATTCTCAACAATATCGGAAGAAGAAGTGTTCCGCTGATGACAACGAGAGCAGGCAAGAGGGAATTCGGACTTCGCGTCCGGTTGTAAAGGAAGAACATGAACGGAGCGATGACTGCACCGCGTGGGTATTGAACCAGTGGCTGATGACATTGTTGTGCAAGACGATCGCCGTATCCCAATTCCCAGTGATAAGGACAATTGACCTCTTCGCGGAAAGATAGTAGCACATTCCAGGAGATATTCATAGAGGTTTTCTTCATTGTCATGCACCACTGCTGATGCATCATATGGTCCATTCCAATGGCATCGCCCATTGGGTGTCGTCCAGGACTTGAGGACATTACGCGTTTCACACATGAAATACTGATCACGCTGACTACCGCGTGCTGATGAAGCGACTTGTTTCTGCAATGGAAGTGGACCATCAACGCATTGTCCATCACCACACGACCATTGATTCGGTAGACAAACACGATCATCGCATTCGTGACTCAGTGCCTCATCGGTGGAGTTCTGATCCTTCTTGAATTGTACTTCATCACTCCAGTCGAGACAATCGAATTTTCCATCGAGAAAGAATTCATCCGGAATACACATTCCATTCATACATCGATATTCCTCCTGTTCACATCGATTCATCTCCAACAGATCACAATTCTCTTCATCCACTCCCGACATGCACTGCTGCACTGCATCACAGATCTCTCGCCAATCCAGACACAACGCACCCGAATCACATCCCACTCTTTCATAACAAACAACATCACCGTGGTCTTGGACTTTCCAAGAGTTTAAACATCTCATTAGGAGTTGCCCATCTGTAGTCGATATTCATAGTTCTTTCCAAACGATGATGAATCAATGCACTCGCACAAATACCCATCCCACTTACCATCATCACCTTCTCGTCGAAAGCGTGCGTATGCTTCGACCGGTTCGATGCTCGAGTTCCATCGATGCTGGACGGTGATGTTCTTCAGGGGTAGTCGAGAGAAGCGATGAAGTTGTCCATTTTTGTTGCGACATGCTGTGATGGCATTGTCTCGAGTGAGATCGACCGATCGATGTGGACGACGACAATAGAAGAGAGACTGAACAAAAACACAATCATAGAACTCCACCCCGAGACCATCCTTCGTCTCGTGAAGATAGATGGTATTCTCCACAAAGGTGTCCCTGATAACGAGGAGAAGAAGGATGCTTCTTGCGAACAGGTTCATCGTCTGTTTCTAAAGATTCACTCGCGGCGATGACACTGGCGAGAAAGAGATGATGGTGGAGAAAGAGATTAGAATGTGGTAGTCATGACTTCTTTGGAAGCAAGTCCACCAAATGTGTCTTCATTGATATTTGCTGTTGTTCGGTGTCAAAGCATTGGTTCTGCTCGTGAGTTTTATCGGTTTTGTCGATGTCAGAATGCAAGAGACAGAGCGATCTTTGTATTGGCACACAGAGTTGTTGATCGATTATTCTCTGCGGCATGAAAAATATTGAGCTATAGAGATAGGCGCAAAGCAGTTCAATTGGTAGCTGAGAATGATGAAAGAAAAAAATATCGCATCAACTAGTGCGGTCGTCATGGAGGACAATAGGAAACTATGAAGCACGAAAGACAGATTTGAGAACTGCCTTTCTAGATAGTTACAATATTTAACTATCGTGGAGAGTGGATAATGGCATTAAGATTCTCTCCGCAGATTATTTACAACGCATGCCCTTTAAATCACCACAATATTGATGCTCACCGAACTTCATTTGAAAGTAGTATTCAGTATTTTCTCACCACGTAGCAGTGAGCTATACTGCTTGAATAAAAATTACAACCCAACCTTGAGGTGATACGTTGAGTGGCTAAGCGATGGATCTCAAATGTTCATTTCGAATGAGCTGACCGCGAAGTGTTGTATGGCGGGTTTTTAATGAAGACCACGGTCACTGAATCAGGATCCGAGATACTATACAATCTATTTTATTCTCTCATATGTTATCAATGAAGATTCCATTTCCTATGGTCATTCTATTGATCGGTATGCTGTTTGTTAAGAAGCAGAGGACTCGCGCTTATATACTAAGGTTGAAGAACCATTCAAATATCATGTAAACTAACAGAAGAATGAATTGAACACGGGCGAAGAAAAACTTAGAGAGAAAGCATGCAGAAGTCCTAAGATGATAAAAATGAAGTAAAAGCAATGAACACATGATTTGACATTAGAGCACAAATGCAGCGATGAAAGTATATGTGTTTATGTTCAAGGATTGAGCGAACGGCTTTAATCAGAACATGTGTGTAATTGGTATCGACAGAAAGTTGACATACTGGACCAACACATCTAAAGAACGTAGAAAATAACGATAAGAGTCATCGATAGTAAATAAGCAACTCACCCTCAAGATGGAAAAATAGTGTGGATAAATGGTAAGCTGATGTACACCATCAAGTGAAATAATGACTGTATCGCCGCCTTGTTTTTTCAGAGAGAGTAGACAGTCTCGACAGCTCGCCTATTTGACCCTTCGATGGTTTGATTCGCAATGCACTGATGTCGAAATCACGAAGAATGGCGATATCAGCTAGTTGTTTCACACGGGAAAGAGGAACATAGGAAGATGCCACTTCTACCATTCCAGGAGGCATGTTCAAGTCAATGATAATCTTCGGTAGTGTTTGACCTTGACTCTTGTGAGTGGTGATTGAATAAGCAGGAACGAGTGGTAGACCTCGTCGCTTCACACTGATGGTGGTCTTCAATTGCTTAGCACTGAGTGCTTTGAGCACCGAGCCCTTTTCGGGATACAGTTGTTCCAGACTGACGGTGAATGTCTTCTCGACGACAGGAATGGGAATCAGAGCAAGGACGAAAGTATTTTTACTTTGAAAAGTTGTACTTTTTCGAGTGAAAGTACATGTACGTATACTTGGTGTCGAATACTCGTACGTTTACTTGTACGGACTCAAAGAACTTGTGTACTTGGTGGTCATGTACAAGTCCCGTACTTTTTCAAGTACTACGTACAAGTGTAAGAGCAACATGAAAACAGGATTCTCTTGCCCACCTTCTTTTACCTGTCTTACACCTCAACAATGTGAGAGACAAGAATGTGAATAATATTAATTCAAAATACCACTGATATTGTATGAACTGCGACGAAGATCGAAAAGTACTTGAAAATACTTGCAAAAATACTTTTTTTGTACTTGAAGTACACGTACAAGTAGCTGTTCTACACGTAAACGTAAAAGTCCAAGTTCGTCTACCCCACGTACAAGTGTATTACGTGTACGTGCGATACTTGTACGGATCCTTGCTCTGATGGGAATGACTTGCGGTTCGAGATCGTCAAACTTGTTCATTTTCGACTTGAATATTTCGACCAATGCTTAATGTGCGTTGTGGACGAAGAGTGTATCACTGGTATAGACACTTTCAGTCGAAGCCGAAGTATGTTCCGCTGTCTCGTCGTAGATCAGTTTGCGGAAGATTCCGGGAGTGCCATTCGAAAGACCAAGTTCACACGCAATGTTTTCTTGTAACAAAACAGGCATGCCAGGAACGAGTGGCAGATAACCAGGAATATGGTCAGTCTTGTTATCAGGCAGAGCAAGTAGACGTTTGCTCAGATCGAGAAGATCTATTTCTTTTTTCGTGTTGATCTTATCTTGAGCGATAACCACCGTTGGCGCTTGACCGAGTTGATAGGCTTTATTGATGACTGCTCGATTGTTCAACTCGGTCCGTAACTCATTACGATACACGAGGATTGGAGCCTAAAATAGAATAATTTATTATCATTATCGATTTCGGATACATAGTTTAGAGTTATTTCTACTCGAAAGAGATTGCTATCACAGTTTCTGTAAATTTGAAAACGACTAGGAGCTTCGAAGAGATGGAGATATGCCTTCTCTATCAATTTCCTTTGATAAAATCTGCTCATAAGACTTTGTCTGTTTTGTCAAACCGCGAGTTCCATCAGTCTCCTACCTCGTTCCACGGCGAATCGTTGAGAGAGATTTGCAGACCCTTCCCAATCACTCGTGTTTGAAGTAAGAGCCAGTCTTCGTATGTTCCCTCGCCCTTACGAAGTCTACCGAGAAGATCTTGATAAGTTCCATCGATTGTTCTCATCTGTTGTTCAAGTATGACAACACAGTTAATTTGCAGAACCAATGCACGAGCACTCGTCTGTTGAATATCGTTCTCAGTGGGTAGTTTCCTGATTCCAATGGACGCATTGATCATAGTTGATGAATAATCATAGTAAAGGGGTCGATCGAATACAGGAGAGTACTGCATATAGTCGCCAAACAAAATAAGATTGGCACCACCGATCGAAACGATTGGATCGGCGTGTTTAGCTGTGGCGATAATGTTACTCAGTCGAGCCAGCAGGCTTAGTCCAACCATGGACATCTCGTCCAGAATGACATATTCGATGAAGCGCCATTCATTTTCTAATTTCGTTTGGCCAGCACGATTTGTACACTTGGATTTTCTCTTGTTTCTTCCCTCGCCTAGGGAAGAGTGGACGGTCATTCCATCGATCTCAGCTGCTGCCACCGATGTGGGGGCGAGTTTGCGTAGTTTTCGTGCTCGGTTTGTTTCAGTGAAGTAAGCAGTAATGGCTCGTATTAACTGGGATTTACCAGTGCCACCACATCCTGGTACACACATAATTAGCTGTGTTTGATTACCACCTAAAATCCGAAAGGAGAGTTGTAAGTGTGGTTCTTTTGTGTGAAAATCCATTTCCTACTCTCTTTATTGAGCCCATCAACGCCATCAAGATGGCCTGTAATGATCATGAATGCTGCCGTTTGATTTTTGTTGAGTGTGAATTGTCGCGCGATTTGCTGTCGAGTAGGGCCAGCTGACAACGAGATTGCTTTGACAGATTGTGAGTAGACAGAGTCGGATGAGACCTCATCATCATAGTTTAAAAGAGTAGCTGCTTCTGCCATGGTAACTGACTGATCTGCATCAGCGATACTTTGCAAGGCAAAGTCACCGTTGTCTTCCTCGTTTATGCAAGCATTCCGTTTCTGTTCTTTTTCTTCTGTGATCTGACGTGGCCATTTCTTGTTCAGTTGGACAAGCTCAGCAGTAGCTGGAATAAGGAACTGTCGATCGCAAATCATTTTCTCGTGGGAACGTTTATTGTACGTCAACGGTTTAGATCGATCGAGCACCGAATCTGAAGGCGTAGAAAATAAAATATCGTCTTTGTTCACGCAAGAAAAATGTCTTACTGTGAATATGGATGAATCGGTTGGCTTGATCAACTGCTTGCAATGTCTTTTGAAAATATTTCTCTTCCGACTTCATGCCTGGTTGTTCGATGTGCGTGAGTTCATCCATATCGATATTAGCCAGAACATCCAAGATTTCTTCTTGCTCTTCGTCGCTTTCGTTGTTCATGTCACTCGAGTGAGTGTGCTGATGGATAGTTTCTGTTTGCATCGCTTCGATCACTTGCTGCAAGTGTTCGTCTCGATCCTTCTTGCATTCGTGTAATAGTTGGATGTTCTCGATGAACTTGTGCGATTCGGGCATGATATTTGTTTGACGACTGTCGAACGCTTGCTTCCAAGTTTGATTCAGGTCACATATATCGAACACTGATCGCCAAGGGACAAATAGAGTGAGAATGAAACGACAATAACGTTCTTGTGTCTCTTCACGATCTTCTCGAGGTATAGGTGGGCCGAGTAAGACAGGCACGACTAGGGACGTCCGTTTCATATTCATGTGCGAAGATGCCTGAGGATGTCCAGTTTGAAAACATTCTCTTTCAACTGGTGGTCGACCGCGATTCGGATGTTCTTGTTCATTTCGTTTTGCTGTTGTTTGCGCTTGGAACTGTTTTCGATCGTTGGCATTGATCGGCTTTTTGCGGAAGAAACGTACGTAATCGTACAAAGAGATATTCTCAAGCGCCGATGAACGATATTGATAGTCGATTCGACTGTTGACAAATACATATCTGGTCGAAGATTCGCCTGGCTGTAAAAGAAACTGTTCTTCGGCATCGATCCGGACTCTGTCTTCATCGTCTGATGCAGCTGGCGCTTCTAAGAAGTGAAGCTTTATCTCAGCAGAGTGGAAAGAATGGTTTATCTCACCCATCGGCTGCTGCTGATCCTTCGAACGCTCATCGAGTAGGGCTGCTTGTAGATAATGCTCGACACTGATGAGATGGATATTTGCAAACTCATGAGTGGTGTAGTGATCAGGCCAGCCCATCAGGTACGAAGCTACCTGCATACCTGAGAGCTCTTGTTGAGACGCGAGTGTATTGTAACAGCGAAGAACGAGTCTCCGAGATTTCTCCTCGGCGCTCATGCAACTAGAACTAGGAAGTGGGGATTTCTCCATAGATTTGACTGCTTTGAGAACGAGAGAAAAATGTGTCCTGCAATGCTAGAGTCGTCTTCGTTGCCAGGGTATATAAAATTGATGTCCATATTCGAACGGCATGCGCTGATAATATATTCATTGAAATTGTTGATGGTGGCATGTAACCGTTTCAGTTTGATCTCGCCGGAATCGACGTTGATGGATGATTGATCTACAAGTTGTCGCGGCATGCGCATCCGACAGGTAGGATTATCGCGTATCTTCGAATATTTGTAACAGGTCGCAGAGTGCTTGTGAATATTCCTGCTAGTGACTAACTGAAC